CTCCGGGCCGGCCGGGCTCCGCGCCTGTCAAACCCCTCATTGTTCGCAGCTGATGTCACTCGCAGTTGTGAGCGGCCGCCTTTCCCGGGGACAATGTGGGACTGAGCGGCCCAGCCGCCGCGCCGCCGCCGCCGCCGCAGGACAGCCCCAGCGAGGTAAGGCGCGGGCCGGGCGGGGCACAGCCGGCCTTGAAGTTTAGGGGTTCGGCTGGGGGGCGGAGAGTCCGCTCCCATGTGCACGGACTGCGGTCCTAGGAGACTGCAAGGAAAGCGTTCTGTGTTCCGTACGGCTGAGGCCTGCACAGGTGGGGGGCGCTGCTTTGCCAGGGGAACACCCCACTCCAGGGAGGGGTTTCTTGGACCTTAGGTACCAGATTTGCTGCTCCCATCCTATTCGCTGTTTCTGTCTTTTGAGCTTGCTCTTTTTCTGGCCCTCCTGTCCTGGGTTCAGGCTCTGCTTCATCTCTGTTCTTACCTGCCGTTCTCTGCAGCTCTTGGCTCACACACACACCCCTTTCCATTCTCTGCAGTCCTTGGAGGAGCCAGACATAGACCTCCAGGCCAAGGGTGGATGGAAATGATAGTTGGGGGCACAAAGCGGTCCCTCCTTCCCTGTGGCTCATCATTATTAACCTAGCTTCTTGACTGGGGTACTATGGGGTGGAGGGGGGGGGTGCCCTGTTACTTCAGCCTGGCCCTCATGTATGCCCGCCATCTTGAGACCTGTGGCACCCAGGGCTCCACCCCACCCTGGTACTCAAGGGAATGGGACTTTGAGTCATTTGTAACCCCTCCTCCCAGAATGTGGGGCCCTGGGTCCTCACCAAGCCCATGGTGAGTACCTTCATCCTGGACCAACAAGACATGTGTCCCCAGGGGCCCTCCTTTCCTTACAAAGAGCTCTTAGACCCCAGGCACTGCTCAAGAGCTGGGAGCTCTGGCCCTCAATGCTTACTGGGGTCACCCTGGTGGCCTCAGGGTCAGCACCTGGGGGCCCTATTGCTTCTCCATCTTAGGATCTCACCCCTCTAGGTCTTGGAACCCCCCCTCAACTTCCAAAGCATCCCATCCCAGCCCCCACCCCCTAGCCTTCATCAGCATGCAGGCTCAGACTGCCCAAACACAAGGGGATTGTTCTTCTTGCATGCTCAGGGTGGGGGGCTGGGAGCAGCCGGCCCACACACCCTGGCAGGCCCAGGCTGCAGAGAGGCTGGCCTGCCCCACCCTGTATCCCCAGACAGACTCTGTGTACCTTCCTGTTCCCATCACTGCCCTCCTCCAGCCTCCATCACCATCGCCTAGTGGTACTGACCTCTTGAGGAAAGAGCCCTGAGTTGTGCAGGTGAATCCATGGGTTCTCCTGGCCTGCCCATTGCCTCTCATACAGTCTTATAAACAACTCTCTTCCTCTCTGGGGTTGAGGTTCCTCTCTTGATTGGTGAGACTTTTCCAGTTGTGATTGGCTGAATCCACCTCAATGCCGTAAAACCTATCTCACAGACTAGAGCTTCCTCCAGCTCCCCTTCCTCCTGGTTGACCACTCTGGTCCCCTAGAATTCTCAAATTCCTCGATTCAGCAACATGCTGAAGGGATGTTCCCTAGACCCAAGAAACCAGCAAGAACAGGGAATCTTGACCAGGCAGGTCCTGGTTCTGTCCATGTGATTAGTCCTTCAGGATTCTGAGCCTGATGGTCTCTATGTTCCAAGGCCTGTGGGCCCCAGCTCTTCTCCCCCCCTCCCCAATGCACATGGCCAGATCTTGTCTCAAATTTCCTATCCTCTTGTAGCAGAAAGGTTCAGAAATGCCCAACTGGGGCTCCCTTGATTTGCAGCCCTATCTTTTCAGAGGCACAGGGGCTGTAGAAATTTCATCTGACTTGAAAGGTTGGGGAGGGCTACACAGAGAAGGAGGCATTTAAGAAGGATCCTGCCAGAGAGTAAAAGGGATGGGCATTTCAAGCTGAAATTGTTGTCAAGGGCAAAGGCTTTTTCTGAGGCCTCTAGGTGCTAGGTCTGTCCTGTGGCCTGGCGTGTTTGAGGGATGGAGTGAAGAGGAGACGAGAAGTTGGTAGGCACTGGACCCTTAAGGCCTTGATTGCCTGTCCATAGAGGTCAGGTTTTATTCCTTGGGCCCTAGAGAGCCATGGATAGCTTTAAGCAACATAATGAGCATGCAGTCTTCATCACAGAGAATGGCAGCTAGAAAGCTTTTTCAAATTGAATACAACAGTACCAGTGAGTGGGGCCTGGGCCTGCTTTGGTTTTCTTTGACTATGAGGACTCTAGGGGGAAGACTCTAAGGGGGCTATAGCACTTCTGGCACTTGCCAGATTGTCGGCATCCCTCTTCTCTGGCACTTTATAAAACAGACTTGAATCAAGAAACCAGAACCTGGAACTGCTCCCCTCCCCTTTCCTCCCTCCAAACTAGGGATGATTGGCCATCCTGGGAGGCTGAAAGGCTGAGGCTGGGCCCATGGGTCTGAGGATGCTGGGCAGTTTTGTGAACTGGCTTATCGGCAAGGGTGAGCATCCCCAGAGTAGGGGGTGGACAGGGGAGTTGGGAGTCCTCAGTGTTGACACCCATCTCCCTAAGGCCCAGCAGCCACTCTCCCACCACACCTGACCTTGCCTGATGCTCAGCTATTCCCCAGCATCGCTGGGTGTGGCCAGCATGGCTGCTTTTGGAATGGGGATTGGAGGAGGCTGCTAGGTGAAGAGTTTTAAGGGGAGGGAATATGGGGGTGGGGGGATATGAGATATGGGGTAAAGATGGGGACTGGATCCTCAAACCTTCCTCAGCCCAGGTGGGTCCACAGCTGGTCCAGACATACTGGCCAGCAGAGCTGGGGGAATCCCCCAAGGGGCGGGCCAGCCTACTGAGTCAACTGGCCCCAGGAACCCTCCCCTCTCCGGATTGTTCTTACACCAGAACAAAGCCAGGGAGGACACTTGATCCCTGCATGTGGGGGGAGCTGGCTAAGCCCCCAGCCCTTTGATTGGGCAGCTGTCATGGGAGAGAGACAGCTGGGGGGGAGGGGCAGGAAGGGGGCAGCCACCATCGCTTACACAGCTGTCATCCCCCCCTTTGGCCCCCTCCAGTTCCAGTGGCAGGAAGCCAGGTTCAGAAGGAGTGGGCACTGGGTCCAGGGAAGAGGCCTGGGGAGCAAGAAAGAACACCTGAGGTCAGAGGCCCAGTCTGAGTGTAGGATGTTTTGCCAGGGAGCCCTGCTGACCAGAGGGGGCTGGGCACCCTCAGAGGTGAGCTGGAGGTCAGTGTGGCATGATGTGTGGCTGCCACGTGGGTGGCCCAGCAGAGACCTGGGCCCACCAGACTGGAACAGCAAGGAACTCCATAGGAAGGATACCTACCTAGTACTTAGACTTAGGGTACAAGGAGAAAGGTCTGGAAGTAGATCAAGAGCCTCATTCTCTCCTAAAGTCAGGAAAGGCTTGAGAGGGTCTCAGAACAGGTACACAGAATACCAACAAGTCTCCCTCACCCTAACTCCCCAAACAGTACAGATGGGTAAACCCAGATCGAGGTCAGGGAAGAGCTAGGCCAAGGTCACCTATTGAATTTGGGGCAGTGGGTCTCTGATACAGACTCCAGCATCTTCATGGTAGGAGTTCCAATTCTGCCTGTGTTCCAGCCCTCCTGACATTTTTCTTGCAGCCACAAGAAGA